AAAATGTGGAACCATTAGTTGCCTTTTGCAAAACCAGAACCAATAGGTGGTTCTAGACTCTGAATCTGCATGCTATCGACATCCCCTCTCCTCCTATAATGCGGTTCCAAAACCTAACAGGCAATCCATATATCCCTAGATCCTCCATTCCATTCTCTGCCCAGCTCCAACTATTGGTGGGGAGGGATACTTATTTAGGTGAAATTGTGGGACAATAAAATTAGCAAGAAACAAGCCAAACACATACAATTTTGGCCCTATGGGTTTCTCCTACCTAGGTCTCATGCCTTACGCTTCTTTTACAAGACAAAGTCTTTCTTTTTTTAAAGAGGAGTACATGAATGGCTCTCCAGCCCATCCATGCCTTTAGTTATATTGAAAACTTATTGTTTTGGACAATATTTTGTCCATACTATTAACTTTGGATCAAAAGGTCCTAATTTAAGTATAACTTGAAACTAAATTCCCTAACTTTAATTAAAATATCTAAAAAGTCCCTAACTGTTTCAGCAATGAAATAAATAAATAAAAACATCTAAAATATCCTAAGAAAACTAAAAAGAAACACCCAAACTATATCTTGCTCGTCGTGGAACCCTCTTAATGTTTCATCCTCCAAATAGGAGCAAAAATTAGGAGGAATATTTCGCTCCCATAGAAGATACTCGTGACTACTTATGCTCTGATCTCCATCAGATACATGTTCATGACCCACGGAGTGATGGAATCGAACAAAGTTGGTTGTTGTATTGTATTGTTATTAATTTTGACATTTGATTTGCTTCATATATTAGTGGTTTAAATCAGGTTCTCTCATGCTACAATATATCCTTGCCGATAATTTTTATCTAGCATGATGGATGTGACTTTTATGTTATTCTTGTTGAGATGTGAAGTGATCATGTTGACACCCGGGGATATTAAAAAAATATGTATAGAGTGCAACAATATTGTTTGAACCTAAGACGTGTCATGTAAGTTCGTGTGGTCCACTTCTGCACCAACTACATCTAAGTGGTAACAAATATTAATTATTTGTTATGTACATCAAAAGTATATCAATTTATTGTACATAATAATTCTAGTGAGAAAAGATATGGGGACTTATGGCCTCACTGAGGGTATGACCCTTGATAGAGCATAATGGCAGATCAAGATATTTGTGTAGCCGATCCCAAATAATTAGGAAAAAGCTCTGATGATGACGATGATGAATTATACGAAACTGCGGATGCATTTTATGCCAAAGTACGAGACACTTAGACATGCATTAGATTCGGACACCCTTGCCTGTGTCTAGGCAACATAGGAGAGACTGCATGATCCATGTCTCATTTGCATTTTATGTCAAACATCCTTTCCTATCAGATCCAGTTGGACCAACTTTATTACTGTTGTTAATGCACGTTGTTTTATCTGCTACTCTTGTTTTGCATCGATCTATGGGAAATTTATTTGATTTATTCAAATACCGATAGGAGATAAACTGTGGAACATTCTACTCCTATCTTTTGATTTAATTTCACCCATCAAAAAACACAAGATCATGAGTTGGAATAGTTTCAAGTGAGCAAAATGTTAAATAGTTCATTTCTTAGGGGTATCTTGTTAAATTTCCCTTGATTTATTTGATTGTAAAAAAGTATAGTTGAATTAGCATACTTTTCGATTTATCGTCCATTCACATGCTCCGCCTTGAAATAATAAGAAACTTCTGCTTTTTGATCTAGTATGCATTGAACCTCACTAGGCGTTAATAAATACTATGCTACACTTGAAGGAAAAGATTAATATTATTGATTAAAAGATGCCTACCCTTTTGATTTGTCACCACTTGTTTGAGGCTTGGTTTGGGGAGTAGGTTAGTTGTCAAATTGGCTATGAGAGTAGACTCAAGTTTTGTCTGATATGAGGTGTAAGTCCCTTTCTTCCGCTCTGGTATTCCATATGTGCCGATGATATAATTGAGGAGTTTGATGCATAACAATATGGTTTTTGTCTGGGTGCCTTATTTGTTATTATTTGTCTGAGGAACCAGGCTACTTCAGTGCCTGGCTTTCAGGAGGGGTCTTAAGCACCTGGAGTTCGAGTACTTGTCTTGGAGTATTTTGAGATCTGCGTTTGTTTCGTTAATCAGGACCCCAAGAGGGTGTTATCGAGTTAGATAGTTTTGGAAGGCTTCTAGTTAGGTCTTTTTCCAGAGCTGTACGAAGGAATCATCTGGAGAAATGTCTCGCTAGTGCATGGTTGTCCTGGTCTGCCCAGCGTGAAAACTTCAGCATGCTTGTGGCCTACATAATTACTCCAAAGGTTATGATGAGCCCGTTGAATTTCAATTCCCTAAATGCGTAACATTTTTCATGTTCTTTGGCATTGATTCCCTTACATTTGTCTGCTGCATCTGGATATCAGGGAGATCGTACACCATTCCTAATTTACAGACTTCCTATGAGGTTAATTTACTGAGCTATGCATGGCGTTCAAAATAAATTAAGATTTCTTGTTTATCAGTATCTTGCCAGCTGAATTGTTGAAAAGAAAAATGGCTGAGACATTTTCTATTAACTAGAAAGAGGGAAAGGTCCTAGCGAGGCAGCTCAGGCTTAATAAATTACAAGGGAGAAGTTTCTTCTGTTTGCTTTGTTTGGCTTCTGCAACACAGGCTTTGTTTCTGCAGTCTGTCCTCTTTGGACATCTGATGCAGTTTACCTTGTATTTGTGCTTTTCTGCTTGTGACATTTGAATGAGGATATGCAGTCTGCTCCATCAGCTATTCGTTGGCACTACACTATAAATTGCAAGGGAGAAGTTTCTTTGCTTTGCTTTGTTTGGCTTCTGCAACACGGGCTTTGTTTCTGCAGTCTTTCCTCTTTGGACATCTGATGCAGTTTACCTTGTATTTGTGCTTTCTGCTTGCGACATTTGAATGAGGATATGCAGTCTGCTCCATCAGCTATTTGTTGGCACTACACTACACTAGTTTATAAAGGTGAACAGCTTAGTGCTCTCACCTGTTGATCACTTTGCTTGAGTTCCCCTTTTGTCAAGCCATAAAGACTTGCTAGTGCATATTGCTTCAGTACCAAATCAGTAGCTACATCCCAGTTATCTAATCTATGATCACTCTTTACATGTTGTAGTTCAGTCTACTATGCCAGTAAAAATGATTATTTGTTCAATTTTAGCATGACACTTCTGAGTACATTGCCTACCCGTTGTGCTTAGCTAGTATTTAGAATACTTTACTCGTCAATTCATTTAGATGGTATGGCAGCATGTTTCATTCAGTAAATGTCTCGTGGCATGGGCATTTGATTATTTAAGAAATTGTGGAGGTAAATTGACCATGTGCATGTAAGATTTTTTTTTTTTTTTTTTGGGGCCTTTGTAGGAAAAGCATATATTTTGGCCTTTGAAAATCTATTGAGAGGTGCAACTTGGAAGCATGTGCAAAAAGCAGGCTGTGGCACTGACGAAAGCAACATGCAACTTTATGTGAGGGGACATTTAGTATGTGTGCTGTATTACTTAATGTAACATGGGGGAAGAGATTGAAAAAAGCGGGGCAACTTGGAAGCATGTGCAAAAAGCAGGCTGTGGTACTAACGAAAATGACGTGCAACTTTATGTGAGGGGACATTTAGTATGTGTGCTGTATTACTTGATGCATCATGGGGGAAGAGTAAGAATAAGAGATTTAGTCCTACGTTATTGGTTTCTTGTCAACAAATGAAACTTAGAATGGATTTTCTCCAATTGCATTATATGTTTTCAGAGCACTATTCTCTAGTTATTTTGATATCGAAAAATCTTTTGCGGCAGCATGACAAAAGTTGCTGGTTTCTTGTCAACAAATGAAACATAGAATGGATTTTCTCCAATTGCATTATATGTTTTCAGAGCACTATTCTCGAGTTATTTTGATAACGAAAAATATTTTATGGCAGCATGAGAAAAGTTACTTGCCTTATCGTTAAAGCATTGAGCTCCTATAATCTCTTCAGCTGGTTCTGGTTTGAAGGTAAATCTTGACATGGTATTTTGAATGTATTGAACAAAAATCCAGGAACATGGATGTACATGTCCTTATGCAGGTATCTTGATGTTCCTGTGAAGTTATTCTTCAACTCAGATTAATGGTTCATTTTAGGAAAATGAGGTTAAAGTAGGCGTGGGACTTGATGGAACACTTTAGAACTATATGCCATGCTCTATTTCTCTTCATGTGGAATTGAGTGTATTTGTTCTTTTAGGGGATATCCAGGGGACAGCTTGCGGGTCTTGAATGATGAAACTATGGAACTCATTGGCTGTGAAACTTGCAAGATATGTTCACTTGAGCTTTTGTGGGCAAGATACCATCCTTTTTAAGGGAAAAAAGGATGTTTTTCTTTTCTCTGTGCATTTTAAATGCTAAATGAAGGAAAAAATGGCCTTTCGGAGTAACCATCAAGGCTACTTAGGTCTGCCCTTTTTGGTTGAACTAATTTTGATTTGAAGGAATAAGAACAGAAAACTAGATGAAATAGGGGGGGTGTTTGTTCTGGTACCTACAGCAAGCATTAAGTTTAAATCGGAAGGTGAAAAGGAACTTTGTTGGTAGAACTAATATGGATCTTAGCTGTGTTGAATGTAATTGTGGACACCAGTGTTCAATATTCGCAGAGCTGACTCTGGACTTTTCCTTGCCTGTCGGCTTGAGACCTTGGGGAATCCCGTGCGAAAGCCCAGGGATTTTGCCGGGGATGTACCATATTTTGGCCTCATTGGGAGTCCTGGTTGCTTCGAATAGAAAAACATCACTGTTATCCATGGTTGGTTCATTGGTTTAAAACTATTGTTTTCATTTTTGTTGATTGTTTCCTTTTTATTTATGTGTCGCCAGTGTGTTAGAAAATATAACATTCTCGTGATTCTAGAGTTTCTCTTCTTTGGTGAAGAGCGAACTTTCGTTTTTATTCTGTCAGACCAAATTAATTTTCACATTTGCGTTTCTGCAGGCCTGAAGATCTTCGTAGACCCTTTGGGCAATTTGGTCCCCTGAAAGATGTCTATCTGCCACGGGATTATTATACCGGGTAAGCATTTGAGTGGGAATAAATCCTTTTTTTTAGAGAACTTTTAAGACTAGTACTCTTACTTTTTCCCCTTTTTTTTTGGTTTTGCATTAAAAGAATCCCATGATCATTTCTGGAAAAAGATGGCCAGGGTCAATCTGTTGTACTTGTTTCTGCAGCCATTAATCTTGGAACTTGATCTTTATGACATTATGAATGTATGCCCTATTATAGTCATAAAAACCAGACATGGAACATGCTGCTTTGGTAATTTAGTTTTGCACGTACGTGCATGCACGTGTGCATGTGCGCATGTGTGTATGTCAATTTGCTTGTGTTGTGTGTGCCTATGTGTATGCGGACTGTGGTTGTCATTTTTCTGTTACTTGTTTTTGGTTCCATCTGTTTTCCTAATGTGTTATCTCAATTGATTGAATCATGGTGGGGTTTGTACTTCCTGTGCTCCTTTATATTACATATTGAATGCTTGATTGAGGCTGTTGAGATTTAACAGTGAAATTAAGAGTGTTGAAGGCATATCAAGTCTATAGAGTTCTGTCCAATGGGGGAGGGGTTTATGTTGGCTGGTGAGATGAGGAGAAGTTAAGAGTTGAAGTTATTGATTATGAAGAAATTCGAGTGTTGAAGAATTTGAAGTCATCTTATAATCTCTGTATCGTGCAAGGTCAGCCGCCTTTGCACTTTGAATTGTGTGAATGACATGCCCAGACCATGCTCTCTTCTCAGGACCCTGCTTATTTTGTTACAGACTAATATGAGCACAACTATTGATTTTCATTTGCTTGTCTGTTTGTGTCATCTTGGCAGTTTGCTCTGAATTTTTTATGTGTTTCATGTTTAGGGAACCGCGTGGGTTTGGTTTTGTGCAATACGTGGACCCTGCTGATGCGGCTGAAGCCAAATATCGAATGGATCGACAAATCCTTCTTGGTCGAGAGCTTACAGTTGTATTTGCCGAGGAGAACAGAAAGAGGCCAGCTGAAATGCGTGCAAGAGAGTGTGGGAGGTAACTACTCATCTGCTTAGTGAAATAACAATTATTTGGTAGTTGTTATGTATGGCATTGTCACAGATCTTCTTTCCATCCATTGGCTCAAAAGTTTTTTAGGATTGTCCAATTTTTTTGAAAAATACTTTCATGTTATTCTATTGGTGATCAACTATTCATATTATGGGCTTTTCTTATCATTGCAGTAGTCGAGGGTATGATAATCGGAGGTCCTCTCGATATTCAAGGTCAAGGTCTCGCAGCTCTGATCACTATTCCCCATCCCCTGGACAGAGTCGTCACTTAAGGTAGTTACTTTCTTTTGTTTTTAATCTTTTGACTTATCATGAGAGAGAGGGAGGCAGAGAAAGAGAGAGAAGGGAAGGGGGGGGGGAAAGGGTGGTTTGGATTTGGTGGGAATATTGAATGTTATTCTGTATTTGGTGGGAATATCGAATATTATTTGTTAGAACATTTTCTTTCTTGTTCCTTGCTGCTTTGCTACAGATCTGTCTCACCAGATAATCAGAAGTACACTCGACACCGTTCCTATTCTCCTTCGCCTTCGCCATATGGTTCAAGAAGTCGAAGCCCTGACAATTACTCGAGCAGGCGATCATACAGAGAAAGATCGGTGTCTTTGAGCCAGTAGACTGCAATAGTCATCTGTTTGCTGATAAAGTGCTCCCATGCATGGATAGAAAGGTGCATTCATATCAAGTTTACCATTGAGATCTGTGAAATAACTAGCTGTCATGTTTTTTATTTATCTAGTGTAGATTGAGGCAGGTAGTATCATACCGAACAGATGAATGCTGAATTCTAGATGGACATTCACATGGTTAATTTGAAGGGGGAAGTTAACGAATGGTCCTAGTGATTTGCAATTTAATAACTTTAGGAATTTCTTGAATTCTGTGGCCTTGATGCTGATTTCTCTCAATATTTGAGATATGGGCTACAAAATGCTAACAGATTGGATGGGATTTATATACCTGTCTTTTTGTGATTTTGTGCGCTTGGTTGTGCTTGGCGCCTAGGTTGCTTTAAGAAGAGAATAGAGTGGCACTCACTGATTAATTTCTTGATCAGTTGAAAGATTTTCATCATGCAGTCAGGTTTCAAAAGATAAGCTTTTGCATGCAAATGATGCATGCCGGTAGGAAAAGTCCATTATTGAAGATAGATTTGTAGGATGTAACACTTTTTAGCAGGATCCTCTGGTAAGAGCTGATCACTGCTGCATATTAGACATGTCGCCCGTGCTTGTATTATTTTTTGGCTGAAGTTTTACCTTGTGTACTAGTGTTTTTAAATCCCAACTCGAAAGGGGAATTCCAGATTAAGGAATCGCCGCATTTTAATAGCTTATTTTCAATTTTCTTATTTTGTTGATAAGTGTTTCTCTTTCTGTATTGCATATTTCACTTAGACTTCTATCCTTTTCCCTTTAGACTTGCTTTAATATTGCTTTTACAATAAAAATTGATTTTCTTTGAAGTTTTTAGGCAAACTCGAGCCAAGACAGCTAATTATTTATAGTGGAGAGATCACTAGATTAATCCTTTTTGACTTTGCCTAAGAGGAATAGTTGAAGTTCAAGGAAATATGTGGATTTTCAATATCAAGGATTTTTATAAAGGATTCTTCAAATCTCTTATTTGGATAAGCTATATAAAATTCATGGATTCCTTGTCATACTTCTATATCCATTGGTAATAAAACTTGATACTATTTTTCTTTAAAATTTTTATGTACTTTTTCTCTTTAAAACTCAAAATTTGGGGTAGTGTATCTATAAAAAATTTGAGATAGTTTCTCTTTTTAAAATTTGATATGGTTTCTCTCTAAAATTAGTTTCTTTCTAAAATTTGATATGGTTCGTCTCTTTAAAATTTAATATACTTTCTTTTCAAAATTTAAAATTTGAAATTGTCTATCTAGAAGTTTTGAGATGATTTCTCTTTAAACTTTTTATTTGTTGTACTCTTTCTAAAATTTAACATACTCTCTTTTTTTAAAATTTTAAGAGAGTTAACTTAAAACTTGAGATAGTTCTCCTCTTCAATAATTTTGGGATGATTTTTTTTTTAAAATATTTTTAAATAGTTTCTCTTTAAAATATGATATATTTTTTCTTTCAAATATTAAGATTTTTTCTTTCTAAAAGCTAAAATTTGAGATAATTTCTTGTTAAAAATTTTGTGATAGTTTTTTTGTCCAAAGTTTTTTTTATGTACTTTCTCTTTTTAAAATTTGATATAGTTATTCTCTTAAATTTTAAGATGTTCTCTCTCTAAAACTTCAAGTTTGAGATAGTATCTCTCTCTAGAATTTTGAAATACTCTCTTTAAAATTTGATAAGTCTCTTTAAACTCTTATTTACTCTCTTTAAAATTTGATATAGTCTCTTTAAACTTTGTTATACTCTCTCTAAAGCTTAAAATTTGATATACTCTTTCGCTTTGAAACTTAAAGTTTGAGATAGTTTCGCACTCTAAAATTTTTAGAGGTAGTTTCTTTCTCTAAAAATTTGATGTACTTTCTCTATTTAAAATTTGATATAGTTTCTCTCAAAAATTTTAACATATTTTCTCTCTAAAACATAAATTTTGCGATAGTTTCTCTCTCTAAAAATTTTGAGATAGTTTCTCAAAAAAAAAATTTAGGCAGTTTTCTCTCTAAAATTTGATATAATTTTTATTTTTTAAATTTCAATTTATTTTCTCTTTTTAAAATTCAAAATTCGAAATAGTTTCTTTCTAAAACTAAAAAATTGAGATAGTTTCTCTCTAAAAAAATGAGATATATTTGTCTCAAACAAAATTTTGGTTGTTTCTCTTCTAAAATTGTAGTAGTTTCTCTCCAAAAGTTTAATAACATTTTTTCTCTACAATTTTTAGAGTACTCTCTCTTTAAAACTTAAGATTGGATATAGTTTCTCTCTAAAAGATTGAGATAGTATTTATTTCTAAAACTTTTCAGGTACTCTCTAAAATTTGAAATAGTCTCTCTATAAAAATTAAAATATGAGATTGTTTCTCTTTAAATAATTTGAAATAGTTTCTCTCTAATTGTATTTACTTTCTCTCTTTAAAATATGATAGTTTCTCTCTCAAATTATAATTTGAGATAGTTTTCTCTCTAAAATTTTAAGATAGTTTATCTCTTAAAAAGAATTTGGTGCTTTATCTTTCTAAAAATTTAACATATTTTCTCTTTCTAAAATTTCAACATACTTTCACTCTCTAAACGTTAAAATTTGAAGTAGTTTCTCTCTTTAAAATTTTGAGAGTTCATCTCTATAAAAAAAAACTCGTACTTTCTATATCTAAAAATTCAACGTACTTTTTTTCTAAAATTTTAACATACTTTTTCTCTCTAAAAGTTAAAATTTGAGATAGTTTTTTTCTTTAAAAATTTTGAGATAATTTCGGTCTTTAAAAAGTTTAGGTACTCTCTCTCTCTAAAATTTTCATTAATACTAAATGCTCCTTATGTTTCGGGTCGTGAGAGCCAATGAGTGAAATCTATGGGCATTGGAAATGCAAAAAAATAGGTTTTTGTGTGAAAATGAAATCATGAAAAAGTAAGTATTATTTTCATGTTTTTAAGTATCTTAGATATTAAACAATCCAAACGATGGATTTTGACAATATTCAAGATATTAAGAATCCATGTTTTAAAATCCTTGTACCCAAACATGCCCTAGGATCTTTTTCTCAAGGACCCAGTTTCTAAGGGGCCAAACCCTCGTATGTAGAAATGCGGGTCTCTTAATAAATCTATTTTTGAGATGGATGTTAAGACTTAATTTTTAAGGACATGTAATCTCTAATAATGAGATCATGAATATGGAAACATAAATTAATTTTAAAAACTAAGAATAATAATTTTAGTAAGAAAACATTTGGACCGTTAATTTATGTTGTTTTTAGATAGAACACCTACTTGCATCCATATTTAAAATGGATGCTTTATACTTTCTGGATTGCATATGTAGAAATGCATTGCAAGAAACGATTTACCTTTTCTCGAACCAATTTTTTTAAAAAAAAATTTGGGCAATTCAGTGGGGAAGATAGGTTCCTACCAGTTTTTTCAATAGATTGGGGAGTTCCATTTTAAAGATATTAATTGGAGGTGCGGTAGGAAAGATTGGGGAGTTCCATTTTAAAGATATTAATTGGGGGTGCTGTAAGAACGGATACTACGGCTTTTAAAGATGTTATATTAATTGGGGTGGGAATGAATACACGATGTGATAATTTCGTATGGGGATGCTACTAAGCCATTTTTCATGATTACACTAGTTTGTATACAGGGAACAACTTAGATTCTTGCGGTACCATTATATATTTGATTTCGCTACTCTCTCTGTGATCTTTCAAGTCATCTAATTATTTACAAAGGAGAGGTCACTGGATTAATCCTTTTTGTGTCCGATTTAAACTAGGATCTTTTCTCAAACCACTTTTCTAAATTGGCTCGGGACATGTTTCATGATTCCACTAATTTGTACTTCAAAATTAAGAGAGGAAATCTCAAATTTTGCTCCAAACAATTCTAAAGTCAATAATTCTTTCAAAATTTGATCTTTGGGGGAGATAAATATGACTTTAGAACTTTGGGCTATTAAATAACCATTACTAGTTTACTTATCCACCATTTCAAATAAACAATTTATCACTCACCCAAAAACATCAACAATTTAAAAATAATAATATTATTATTATTATGAAGGAAGTATTAGGTTAATTTGCTATTTAGCTATCCAGAAAACCTGAAGTACATTATTCAAACACGAAAGCACTTCAAACCCTAATCAATTTTCCATATAAATCAGCGAAGTAGTTGATGCTTTCATGGTCGTTGAATCATGTGTTAGAAGCTGCTCTGTTAAAAATCAATGAATCGCGTTAGAAAACAGGCACTTGACTTGGACTCGCAGTCTGAATTACAAGGGCGCGTCGAGTCGCCCTAGCATCATCCATGATTCGTGCAAGAAAACCGGGCACTTGACTTTGACTCGCAGCCTGAATTACTAGGGCGAGTCGGGTCCCCCTAGCATCATCAAAAGCGTGAACAAAATCCAAAACTTAGGAAAATTCCTTAAAAATTCATTAAAAATATGAAATAAGGGAAAAACAAACAAATGTAAAAAAATAAAAGCATATAAAATAAGAAAATATAAAATAGAAAAGAAATGAAAAATAGATATCATTTTCTTAGAAATTGAGGAAACACGTATATTACTAAAAATAGAATTAATTATAAATCAATTGTAATTGCTTTAGCAAAAACTTATATTTATGATGATAAAAAATTGAAATTTACCTGGAAATCTGATAATGATCCCCAGTTCTTCACACCTCTACGTGAATTGATGGCCCCAAACTTTTCAAAGCTTCCTCATGTAACCTAGTCGCAACTAGGGATGATTAGGGTTCTAAGTTCATAATTAAGTAATCTCAGCTCTTGTTCGGGTGATTCGTAAATTGGAATTTTATAATCGTCACAAATTCAAAGTTTTTTATTTTTGAATCCTTTTGTTGTGTGAAGCAACCCATGTGTGTAGGACTCCACAGTATCACCATTAAATTTCGAACAAATCTCTAAAAAAAGTTCAACTTCCACACCTATGTGATAACTTTTCTAGATATCTGTACCAAATTTAATGTTGATCGTTTACAGTCCTACGCACATACGTGTGGGAGGGTCTAATAGGAACATTACTCTTTCGTAAAATAAGGGGTTTTAAAAATTCCATTACTCCATCCTATCACATTTGTTGAGTCTTCTTCAATAATCTTTGCACCCCACCATCTTGACAACACTTTTAAACCTTCTAAGAACCCTCGGGTTTCTGCCTCATTGGCAGTAGCGAGACCACAAGGGCCAGAAAATGTACATAAGGTATGGGCCAAGCGATAAACCCCCAAACTCTGCTGGACCAGGCTTGCCAAGGCTGGTCCCAACAAAGTTCATTTTGATTGAATTTGATGGAGG